GGAGCCCCGGGCTCAAGGGTCTTATGAGCTCAGAGCTCTCTTCCAGGACAGCATGCCAAACACGCTTTATAATCACTCATCAGCTGAGGGTCAACTCTTGAAATGGTTATGAGAGATGTGTTTAAGGGATTATATGCAGCATCCTTAATCTATTCTCTCAGGTAAGGAGAGATCTCCACTTCAGGATCACACGTAAAGCAAATAGATGCTTTATGCAATGGTACAGTTTAATAAAGCTTGAAGCATCAGACTCTGTGGGATCCTCCGATCACCATGACAAGAAAACTCTACTCAGTATTGGGTGCAAAAGGTCCTGAGTGGAGCTACACATATATAAGAAATAAATATATAATTCAGGATGTTGATTGGTTGATGTGCAAGTAAAGATTTTCCTAATGTTAAATGTGAATATATTTCCTTGGAGTGAAATATAAGAAGGGTAAAACACATTTGAAGCATGGTCATCATTGTATGTGAATGTCAACATGTTTTGGGCCATTTTATGTGTTGTATCTTAAGTTTAAAATGTTTGTCCTTTTGTACGGCGTGTGAGAGGATGAGCTGCGGATCTCTGATACCTGTGTGGTTTTGTCCACCCTAAGCAGCAGGTCAGGCCTCAGATTAAGAATTGATGATTCTGGTGTTTTCTCCTAATGAGCCGGATGTCCATGATGCATTATTTAGATCTGGGCGGATGTTCATGATTGTTGATCTGCATCTCAATGACACGTTACCTTCTGTACATCTACAAGACACCCGCTGAGAGTGTGAGTGATTGTGTGTGTGTGTGTGTGTGTGTGTGTGTGTGTGTGTGTGTGTGTGTGAGTGTGTGACTCTGTTTTGCCATCATCCCCATACAGTTAAACATAAATATCTAAAACATGCAGAAAATGGCCAAAAATATAGACATTTGTTAAGATAAAACTACGCAAATATATTTTCTCTGATTACATTTGTAAATTAGTTTTAAATAAATTGTATGTGTAAATTAAAGAGAATACATTTATATGTTACTTTACAAAAACATTTGTTTGCACATCAATCAATCAACATACTAAATATACTTAAATATAGGGTCAGCACAATGACTCAGTGGTGTTGCACTGTGGTCTCACAGCAAGAAGGTCTCTGGTTTGAGTCTCGGCTGGGTCAGTTGGTGTTTCTGTGTGGAGTTTGCATGTTCTCCCCGTGTTGGTGTGGGTTTCCTCCGGGTGCTCCGGTTTCCCCCACAGTCCAAACTATAACAGGTTCATTCTGTAAAGCAGGTTGGTTAACCCATTTTGTTTTTAATCATGTATTTTTGCATGCTTTATTACCAGCATGTACAGCTTCATTATAACGCAGTATACTGTATTCACATGCTTTAACAAGGGTTCAACAAGAAAAGAGACAGAAAAGAAAAAATACATGAACATAAAATAAAAGGAGCGCGTCACAGTGGCTAGCACAATCACCTCTCAGCACTCAGGTCTCTGGTTTGAGTCTCGGCTGGGTCAGCTGGTGTTTCTGTGTGGAGTTTGCATGTTCTCCCCGTGTTGGCGTGGGTTTTCTCTGGGTGCTCTGGTTTCCCCCACAGTCCAAACACATGCGCTATAGGGGAACTGATCAACTACACTGGCCGTAGTGTATGAGTGTGTGTGGGTGTTTCTCAGGACTGGGTTGATGTATGTGTAAAACAAATGCTGTAATAGTTAGTGGTTCATTCAGCTGTGGTGACACCTGATTAATAAAGGGACTAAGCTGAAGGAAAATGAATGATGAATATGAAAGGCGGAGAGTGTAGCTGTGTATAGTTAGTAAGGCAGACGTTGGGTTTAGGTTTCGGTATATAGGATGAGGGATGCAGATTAAGATCATACTTCATATCTGCTAATATATAGTTCATATCATAATAATAGGCAGGTAGTAAGACAATAGTTAATATCATGAAATATATTTCCAAATTACACAAGCAATGGCCAAAGATATATTTACTGTAGATGGATTTGACTATTTTTGAAATATGTTTAAAGTATATATGAAGAGTTCAGATGCAAAATCCTCTAATGCCGTCTGGAATGTTCTCCTAAAATGAGCATTTTTATCAGCATCCTAATGTTTGTGTTCAGTTAATTCACTTTAAAGGCAATGTAAATAACTAAAGGTAAAGGCACTGAGCCTACACACAGGAGTAGGAGAACAGGAGAAAATGCTAATGTAGAAGAACACATCAGATGGCTTTTACAGCGTTTTGCATATGAACTCTTCATTAAACTGAATGTAAAATATAATTGACCCTCCATATATTGAAATCCAAGAAGATGCATGAATGTGAAATCTTTATTTGCACGTCAGTCAGCACACTGAACATTATCTTGTATATTTAAACATTAGCATATTTAAATGCATTTAAATAAACAGCACAGACACAACATACATTCACTATATATTCTGGCCAGGACAAATCTCCATATATTGTACCGTGTGGTGTTTGTCTGTGCTGTGGTCAGTCTCAGCTGTGTTTGCTCTGCTCTCTCTCTCTCTCTCTCACACACACACACACACACACACACAGTGTAATGAGGCGTGACGCTTCATAAGAGTGCTGGAGGGGCTCCTCAGTCCCGCCTTCTCCTCCTCCTCCCAGCCAATAGGCATCCGCCTGCCGATGATGTCACAGCAGTGGACCAATGGGCTGTGTCTTGCCCGCTGACATCACTGAGCAGTCGGTTCCTCCAGCACACAGCTTCATTTTCTGCTCAGCTTTTGTTAAAATGGAGGCTGGTCTCGGGCCGTGAGCGGTGTGTGTGTTTCTGTGACGCGCGCTGGCGTGTGTGTGTGACCCCGGCAGGATGGTTGTAGACGCTCCCAACGCCAACGGGCCCTTCCCGCCTGTGGCTCTGATGCACTTCAGGGGTGAGTGAGGGAGGGATGGGTGTGTGTGTGTGTGTGTGTGTGTGTGTGTGTGTGTGTGTGAGAGAGAGATCGATCCGCTTCATTGACTGTACTGCGTTCGTCTACAGAACTGTGTAGGTGTGTGTTTGTGTGTGTGTGAGTGTGTATGAGAACGAAGCTTTTGAGTGTCTCCTGCCCTTCCCCCCCACTACAGCAGTGATGTCACAGGAAGTGAGGTCACACTGGAAGAAAGCTCTGTGTGTGTGTGTGTGTGTGTGTGTGTGTGTGTGTGTGTGTGTGTGTGTGTGTGTATTAGGCTGTTACTGAGCATTTGTCTTATTCCCAAAGGCAGATTAAGACTCATCAGTGCTAGAGTCAAAAAACACATCTTCAGGAGAAGGGTCAGACATGTGTGTGTGTGTGTGTGTGTGTGTGTGTGTGTGTGTGTGAGTGAATGTGTGTTTGTGTGAGCGAGGGAATGTTTGTGTGTGTTAGGGTATAAGTGTGTGTCTATATGAAAGATTGCATGCATGTGTGTGTGTATGCGTGTGTATGTATGTGTGTGTGTATGTGAGAGAGAGACAGGGTCTCCGCGGGGTCTTTTAAAGTCTTAAGCTGGCTGTTCTAGGTCTTCATATTTCTGCACAGGTCTTATTTTTGCGGTGTCCGTGTAACGCTACATCTATTGCTCATCTGAATAGTTTGTTGTTGTTGTTGCTTGGTTATGTTGGTGTTGTAGTTCTTTATTTCAATGTAATTTGTGGCAAATGAGGTCAACATGCACCAGCCAATCAGCTTTCTGTTATTGACTCAGTGCGCGGGGAATGTGGCTGTTATTGCGTGGTGAATGTGACGTCATCGATGTGTCTGCAGAGGTTTATAGCGTTCGGACAGGTTCATTAACATGACGCTGCAACGTGCACTCATCTCACCGAACGTCTCACTGACGTCTTCATTTATTTATCTTTTTATATTAAATTCATTCAATTGAAGACGCAGACGTCATGTTCAGTGGGACGAGTGCAGGTTGCAGCCTCATGTTAATAACAGATTTCGGGTGAACAGTTCGCACGCCGCTGCATTTGATTTGAGTTGAATATGAATCAGTTTGGAGAGATTTTGTCTGAAACAGTGCGTCTGTACAGACATGTCAACAATCCGTCCATGCGTGACCATCATAGAGATAACCAGATTAACTGCAACAGGCGTGGAAAGGAGGAAAGTGTTTTGTTAAAAAGTTTGGAAAAAACTGAGGGACAAGTTTAAAGCAAAAAAAGAGGCCATGCAAAAGTGGAGAGCCAGGTGGTTTGAATATTACAGAATATGTTTTTCCAGCATTTATATGTTTACACTGATGTCTAATATTAAAGTTAAAACAGTGTAACAGCTACAAACTAAAGTTAAGCAACAAATGATGTCTGATAACTGGAAAAGAATATCTGAACCTGTCGCTTTACAGAATACTGAAGCCCAATTTCTAGGCTTTATTGCTGATAATGGACACACTGTAAAAATCTTTAAAAAAAGGTCAAATGACTGCAGCTACAGCTGCCAAACAAAAACCATAAAATTCATGCATGTGAGCGCTCTTAGGCTCCGTGTACACTGATGCGTTTTAGTTTGAAAATGCATAAGTTTTGCTACGGTTACGCCATCCGTCCACACTACGCAATGAAATGAAATGAAAACATGATGTAAGGAACTGCCTATTTTCATTTTGATATTAGCAACTTATCAGACAGCAGACATGTTGAGGCGTCGTGCTGCATATATGAGCGTCATCTTCACTGTGTGCATATTTATAACTAAACAGAGCCGATAACAACTGCCTCCTTTCAATTTCTGTGAAAATACGAAACACACCCTTTCTTCTGCTGAATATCAGTTTAATAATCAATAATAGCCATTATTAAAGTATAACATACAATAAGTTTATACATTATAGGAAATAAAGGCAAGCGATCAGTCAATATACAGAATAGGCTACGTGCTTACATTAATCATTAACTTATCTTTGCGCTCAGCCAAAACACGTTACCTGAGAACAAGTAATAGATTCCAATGACCAAAGTCGGGGAACAGGTCGTTAGATAAAGACAAGATGAATGAAATATCCCGTTTAATAAATATAGTGAGATTAGATCCAGCGGGAGCTGGACGCTTGATGAGCAGTCCGACTAGCAGAGCTCTCATCTGGGTAGATATGCTGCAGCGCTTGCCCGAGAGTGTGTGTGTGAGTGTGTGTGTGTGTGTGTGTGTGTGTGTGTGTGGTCACGTGATGTGCGTGTTCAGCGTTTTGGTGTGGAAGGAGAGCTGTTCAGAAATGCTGGGTTAAACGCTTGTGTGGACGCGGATCGTTTTCATTCTAAAACGCCATTTTAAAACTAAAACGCACTAGTGTAAACGGGGCCTTAGGGCCTACTCACACCATGCCATCCGTACCGTGCCCAGGCCAGTTTCCCGGCCGTTTGAGAAGTGTGAGTGCGCTGAATCGGGCTCAAGCATGGTTTACTTGGCCGGCCCTGGCCAGGTTGGAAGAGGTGTGCCTGAGCGCGGTTCACTTGGGCTTTGGCACGGTACGCTTGTGTGTGAGTGCAAAACGCGCCAAAGCCCAAAACTGAAAGCGAGACGTGACTTTTAAGGGACTGTTTCATATGGATTTATTAATAATTCTTATTGTTCAGTGAACTCAAACTGCCGTAGCTTCTTAAATACGCAAACCCCTCACTGCACCACAACTGCGCGCCTTCAGCAGACCTCCTCATTCCTGCAGCACGAGGGCTTTATGATTGTTTATGAGCGCCAAAAGTGGCGGATCTGTTCGGTGAAATATTTGACTGCGTGTCACCGCATATCAAACAACTAAAAATAATACAAAACCATATACTGTAACTAAGGGCCTACTCACACTATGCCATCCGTACCATGCCCAGGCCCGTTTCTCGGATCGTTTGAGAAGCGTGAGTGCGCTGAATCGGGCTCAAGCATGATTCACTTGGCCGGCCCTGGCCCGGTTGGAAGAGGTGTGCCTGAGCCTGGTTCACTTGGGCTTTGGCGCGGTACGCTTGTGTGTGAGTGCAAAACGCGCCACAGCCCAAAACTGAAAAGCGAGACGTGACTTAAGGGGCTGTTTCATCTGGATTTATTAATCATTCTTACTGTTCAGTGAACGCAAACTGCCGTAGTTTATTAAATGCTCAAACTCCTCACTGCACCACAGCTGCGCCTTCAGCAGACCTCCTCATTCCTGCAGCACGAGGGCTTTATGACTGTTTATGAGCGCCAAAAGTGGCGGATCTGTCCGGTGAAATATCTGACTGCGTGTCCCCGCATCCCTAAAGACTGTTTGGTGAAATATTTGACTGCATGTCACTGCATAACAAACCACTGACACGATATAACTAGAGAAATCTCCACTGTGCTGAGCGGGAGCGCTCACTGAACAGCGCAGCAGCGATGACGGAAGCGTGCCCAGGCCTGATTGTAGTGTGAGTGCGGGCCGTCAGGGGAGACGGGAGGGGCGACAAGCGTGCTTTGGCCCGGTTCGAGGCAACTGTACATAGTGTGAGTACGGCCTTAGTGTGTAACTTTATTGTACGGATTTGACCGTAATAATCTAGGAAATATCTGTAAAATAACAGTGTTTCTCTGTAAACATTTTAATGTAAATATCTGTGGATTTATTATTTTTTGCACTTTATTTTAACAAAGAAGTTTTACAGTAATTTTATGGTTTTTGTTTGGCAGCCGTAGCTGCAGTCATTTGACCTTTTTTTTTTTTGAGAGCAAGTTATTACAATTTATTACTTTAATTTAACGTAATTTTAAATGTACTTCAAAAAAACTGGAAAAAACATTGTGTAAATAATACGCCAATTTTATTGTATAAAACAGACAAATTTCTGTAAAATGTCATTACTTATATAGTTCATAAAATTACAGTCAAGCCGTTCATTTACAGATATTGTTTCTAATTTTTGCAAACTTTTGAATATAATTTAAAATAACAGAAAAAATACTGTATAAATAATACTGTAATTTCCCTGTATAAAAAACACAAATGTCAGTAATTTGTAAAAAGTACCTAAAATGAAAGTCAAACTGTTATTTAGAGAGATTGTTTGTCATTTTAAGTTTTGAATATAATGTGAAATGACAAAAAATTACTGTAAAACATTTAGAGATTTTCCTGTAAAATTATTTTTTTTTGTTACAGTGCAGATGATATTGCTTATTATCCGCATACGTCATCTTAATAGCAGTACCGGTCTATTACATGAGCTGCAATATTAGTTTCATCTCGGTGAATGCATGCTCTTTAGCGATGGTGAACGTGGTATCAGTCGCACAATCGACAGCATCGTGACGAGTAAATGAAGGATTAAATACCGTCACAACATCTCCTGTAGATTCAGTGGCGAATGCTGTTAGCTGAAAACTCCGTCCCTCAGGCTTTACCCTGAATGCTTCAGTCATTTTCCTAGCGGACTTTAAACACCGGAAGTCTTTTATCCACTCTTGAAAAAGACTAAATGCTGGATTGGCATTCATTACATGATCACTGATCAGACGTGCCGTTATCTGTAACTGTAGCTGGTTTCTAAAACTGAATCTGTCAGTGTTGTGTTCATTCTCTCGTATCCAGACCTTTACATTTTCACAGCTGTAGCTGCCTGTTACAGAACTGAGTGATTGACAGCTGATATTAACCAATCCATTCGCGTTCTGTTCTAGCGTAGTGGGCCAATAAGAAGAGCTTGAAGGCAGGGCAAGCAAGGCTTTGTTTACTGCAGCAAGTTGACATGACGACTGTTATAAACCATTCCTGAGCGCTGCGCTTGATGTTTTTAGGTGCTTGATGAGTTGCTTCATGAGTTCAAAGATGCTTAATGTGTGAATGCCTCCTAATTCTGCGCATGCGGTAAACATTTTGCTGCGATAATGCTCCCAAATATATTTTGATGTTGCATAGATAAAATTTCGGGCGCAAATGCGACTAAAACAGTCCCAATTTCAAGCTC